CAATGAAGTGCAAATCAGTAGACTGCCCATCAATGCCTTGCAAGGGCTGAGGGCTAAACACTGCAGTGAAAAAGCAAATGAAAAAGCAAGCCCAAAAGCAAAGCTGTCAGCACCACCAGCAGAGTCACCGAAGGGATCCTCTGCCCTGAGGGCAGAACTATCAACAGTTCCCCAGGCACCTGCAGGGCCGCCAGCCTTTACCCCACCTGATTATGTGGCCTAGGGAGTCCGGCCGGCCCAGCCCCCAAAGAAAGGGGCCACATGTTGAAAAACCCCGGAAATGGCAGGCCCACGACTCCGCAAGCAAAAATGTGGAAAGACTTGTTAGCTGCCTGTTTCAATGAAGTGCAAATCAGTAGACTGCCCATCAATGCCTTGCAAGGGCTGAGGGCTAAACACTGCAGTGAAAAAGCAAATGAAAAAGCAAGCCCAAAAGCAAAGCTGTCAGCACCACCAGCAGAGTCACCGAAGGGATCCTCTGCCCTGAGGGCAGAACTATCAACAGTTCCCCAGGCACCTGCAGGGCCGCCAGCCTTTACCCCACCTGATTATGTGGCCTAGGGAGTCCGGCCGGCCCAGCCCCCAAAGAAAGGGGCCACAATGGGTGCAATAGCAAGCCGGGGACCAGTATCTAAAGTTAATATTGGCCCCTTAATTCAGATACCTGTGCAGATTCAATTAGGTGAAAGTAAAAAGTCAATTGATATGCTATTAGACACTGGTACCCAGATTTGTATTTTAGATTCTGCAGATTAAAAGGGAGAGAAAGGAACGCCTTATCAAGTAATTGGAGTCGGAGGCACCAGACAATCAGGACATCTAGTCCGAGCAACCTTAGCATTACCTAATAGCTCTAAGGTAACAGTGGCCACAGTAATACTTAAAGGGGGACCAAGCTTACTGGGACGTAATGTACTAGGAGAACAGCGGTTTGCCCTTGAACAAGAGAATTGGCAGTTTGGGTGTGCAGTACCTCACTGAGAAACAGAAGAAACGGCTATAACAGCTGTAAGTCGATAAGGCATAATCCCACTAACCCTGCCTCCCATGAAAGGAGTACACAAACCCCAGTATCGAACTCCCCCCGAGGCCACCCAACCTATCCAGTGTATCTTAAGTCAGCAGTTAGAAGATGGGATTATTATCCGAACCCACTCCCCGTATAACAATCCAGTGTGGCCAGTGCGCAAGCCAAATGGAGAGTGGCGGTTAACTATTGACTTTCAAGTTTTGAATGCTAATGCTGACACCTTGATGGCTGCCATCCCATCACTACCAGCCATGACAAAAAGCATCCAGTGTTATAAGCCTGCATAGATAGAATCCATTAGTATCAAAGACATGTTGCGATGCTACGTGTCTGTAGCTGTAGAAGTTACCACAGAAATAACGTTCACCCATGCCTCAGTGAGAGCTACAGCCCAGGGCACTCGTGCAGCACTGGAAACTTTACTAGCTGTGTATCCACCACCTACAGAAATACAGAATGATAATGGCCCTCACTTCCGCAACTATCTTGCATATGACTGGACCGCAAAACATAGCATGTTATGGACATATCACATCCCATACCATCCACAGTCTAACGGATTAGTATAGTGAACCAATGGCATCCTCAAATGCAATTTGCGGTTGGCTGCTGGCCCAGCGCTTAAAAACTGGGACTTGCACCTGGATCGAGCTATCAATTGGGCCAATAACTGACCCCATCTGGGAGGTAGCCCTATGCAGCAGGCCTTTAGATTGGGTAGTCCCCGGGAGCCGGCAGTAGAGTGACCTAGGGGTGGTAACCCAGGAAAGCTCCAGGCAGGAGATCGGGTAGTAGTAAAGCATCCTCAAGGAAATAAATGGGAGGGGAGACTATTACCAAAAAGAATGCATAATACACGGTGGGTATTTAAGTCAGATTTATCTAACGGAAGCCAATCTCCTTGTTGTCTTGTTCCTACAGATTGGATCTGTCCACAAGTGCAGCCATAACCATTTCTAATTGAGCCTGCCACTGAAGACGAGTCCTGCTCTGTCACCAGTCTAAATTGATTGGCATCATGAAGTGGTGGACTGTTATGAATGTACTCTTTTTATTAATGCCTTACTGTGTTTCCTGGGTAGGGCATGTCTACTATCCTTCTTATTACCCAGATATTAATGAACTTGCTCCTGAAGACCTCAAGGAGTGGCCTGACCCTGAAGAGCATCCCCCGGAAATGTGTTCAGATGGCCTTCACGTAGTCCGGCTGCAGTATCCATACTAGAAGAAACCCACCACCTCGGAGCAAGTGAAGTCCTAGTCTCTGAGTAAAAGAAACAAGATAGTTGACTGGCAAGGTGGTAACTGTCAGTGCACCTGTAGCACCAGTTATTATCTTGGGTTCATTCCCTACCTGAAGGCTGGAATGGCTAACTGTGGGAGGGGAGGTGATTGTTGTATCTCTGCTGTTTTGGGGAGTTTGTTGTTACATACTTCCAGAGGGGAACCCCATCGAGCTCAACGCCCCTGAGTTTGAGTCCCCAACAGTGCATTCTGCATCTGTTCAGCCTCTCGAACCATTTCGTTTATGGGAGAATCTGCCCCCTCCCATCCCTATGGCTGACAACACTCTCCAGTGATTGTGTGAAGCCCACCAGGTGGGAAAGCGCATTACAGGTTGGAACAAAGTTATTACATAGTTTGTGAATCATACCTATACAGAGGCATGGTGGACTGGTACCCACTTTAATACAACCAAAAGGAGGCTGTATCCGCAAGTCTCCACCACTTATCTTCATCCTTTTATACCAGTGGGTCTCCTAAAGCAAATCAGTGCTATGATTCTGCCCAGACAATGCCGTTTCATTAACCCGATACAGCATCATTCCCATGAGCGACTGTGGGAGCTCTTTCACTCTCTGGGAGGTGAAACATGGCTACAAGCTCCCAAAGTAGGAAGGATAATTGTGATCTGTGAGAAAATGGGGTGTTCACTACTATCACTGGCCGTTCCCCCATGAGAGGCCCTGACACCGCCTGTGTATAACTCCACACCCTGGTGGAAGTGACAAGTTAAAATCCCAACCCTCCTAAATGCTTCATTGTTCACTGCCTGAATATTGTTCAACCCAGAACAATGGTATGTCTGAGCTACCTTTCCAAACTGTTCAGCAAACTCAGGTAGCTGAAGGGTTACCTAGATGGGAATAGCCAGTCATTTTCCGTTCCATAAGTGCACTTAAGTCCCGCAGACGAAGAGATACTCTAGGTTATCTTTGAGACAAACTTAACTCAGCTATAAATGTGTGAAACTTGGATAAATCCCAGAAAAACACTGAAGGAGTAGCCAATCTCCGACAGGCGGTAGGCCACTAGGGGAGGCATGCTCAAAGGAAAAACATTAGAGCACACTGAATAATTGCTAACTGATGGAGGATTAGAAACAGTCCATCTTGCCTAAGTCATGATGGACACTGCTTTTAAAGCAGACAAAAATCAAACTTGGAGTGCTGCGTGTGCACAAGTCCAGTTATCATTGAATATGCATTTTTCCCAGGTAATAAACAACGTTAAAAATAGAGAATAGCCCCTGTCTTAGAAAATCATGGAATGCCTGCAACATTTAATGAAAAATACCCCTATCAAAGCACCTGACTTACCACTTGGGAAGGCTGTAATAAAGGAAAATATTCATTCCTGGTGCAGGGGGGTAAAAGAGGGAAACTAGACCACTGCTTATTTGCTAAACACAGGGCTAGGAGGAAGATGCCTTTCAGACTGGAATCTGCATCACCCCATATGGGAAATAGTTACCCATGATGGCCCTCGGTATGTAGCACAGTCCCCCCTAGTTCAAATTAGTAGCACTTTGATTGAATTAGAAACCCTATGGAGAGGCTGGCCGCTCAGCCCACCTAACATGACCTGTGTATATGAGTTACCTAATGTGTCATACGTAACAATAAGGCAACGTGTTTGTTGGGAAGGACCAGGTCGTTTGCTGCATGAAAATGGTACCACCTTGACTTTATGCAATTCGTGTTGCTTAAGAGCTAAAAGTGGAGCCGTTGCTCTACTGCAATTAAGTAACCGTACTATTGCCCTAAAATGGCCAGAAATTTCCTCTGAGACTATACCTCTCAACTTTACAATACCCACCTCATGGGTATCAGATGTATCCATAAGAAGGGGGCGGGCCTTGGCCTATATAAACCACAGGCAGGAGGCCAGGCAGCAGTTCCTTACCAGCAGCCAAGGCAGAAGGAGCTCCCTGCCAGAAAGAAGAGAAGCAGAGCTGGGATGCCAGAGCAGCATTGGTCACCACTGGGTGACAGAGAACCCTGGTAGGCCTGAGCGCAGTTTAACTGGAGGCTTATGTTTGCTTTGTAGCCTAGGGGCTTGTGTTTATGTTGCAGTTTGTTTATAACCGGTGGTTTGGGTGAGGCTATAAGGGGATGGAGGAGGCCTCATAGGGGACTCACGGTAGAGTGAGGATCCCAGCCCCAGTGAGGGCACGGAGTTCAGGGTGTACAGACCCCAGCTCCAAAGAAGAGCCCAGTGAGAGGGCAGCACTGCGGGGAAGAGCCCAGTGAGAAGGGTGGTGTACAGAGAAGGCCCCAGTGAGAAGGGCGGTGTACAGAGAAGGCCCACAAGGCTTAGATATACAGAACACCCAGAGCAGGAGAACTGTGGCCAAGTGGAAGAGAGGTAGCCTCCCTATAAAAACACAGATGATCAAAGTCGTGTTGGGCGAGAATAGGAGGGTGCAAGTCAGAAGCTTGGCACAGTAGAGGAGGCGATAGGGGATAGCAAGGAGACCCTGCCATCCCTCCTGTTACAGTGGTGCATTGGCCAGGAATTGTCAGGCCGTGCACGGAAAGATGAACCTGAGGGCTAAAACAAGGACAGAGAGGGGGTCATAAGAAGACAGTGGCAACACAAACCAAGTAGAGGGCAAAGTAGGAAGACACGGCTCAGGGACACTACTGGGGAAGCCTGAGGGCCCAACCAGTGAGGGTGTGAGGCCAGGATGGCAACAGCAGAGGATACAGAGAGCCTGAAACAGGAGAACTTTGCCAGGCTCCTACGAATAGATGAGTTGGAGGAGAAAACTGAACGAGTGGAGTGGGAGCTAGAGGTGGCCCAAATTCAAAAGGAGCAAGCTGAGGCAAAGGCTGGTGGGTTAGAACACCAGGCCCAGGCAGGGAAAAGGGAAGGAGGCTCAAAAGAAATCGGGCGCGTGATAGTGGTGGAAGCAGAGAGAACTCGCGCACTAGAGCAGCTTATTGCAAATGGAGCCCAAAAGAGCCAGGAGAGGGAAGAGAAGCTACAGAAGATGCAGAGGGAGATGGCAGCTTGGAAAGAGAAGCCTACTACAACCTGCACAACCCAGACAAGGGAACAGAAAGAGATATTACAGAAGTTGGAGGTCGCCAAAAGCATGATAGAGGTCCTTCAGAAAGAAGTCCGCAGCCAGGCGGATCATATACAGGAACTGCAGGATGAGTTGGATGAGTGGCAGCAGAAGTGCTTTCATGCAAAACACCAAGCACAGGAGCTGTGGGACGAGCTGCTTAAAAGCCATGCCCAAGCAAAAGAAACGGGCAAGGCTTTTGCACAGGAGATGGAGAAAATAAAAGCTAACCTGGCAAATTACGAGAACCTGTACAATCGAAGCTTGTCCCTTGAAAGTGAGGTGGAGGCTGGGACAAAAGAGACTGAGAGATTACGGTCCCAGCTGCAGAGGGTGGAGGCAGAAAGAGACCACATGGGAGAATAGGTACAGTGCCTTAAATCTCTCATAGAAGATAACGTGGCTAGAGAGGCAGTGATGAACGCAGAGAGGGAGCAGTCACAGCAGCAAATACAGATTCTAAACCAGCAGATTCAGGCCTTAGAGGCAGAAAATGAGACCCTAAGGGCAGCTAGCAGTCACACAGCATCAAAAGGCCAAGATCCTGAAGAGTCAGAGGGGACAGAGGTATTAAGTACAGAAACCCAGACTGAAGGAGGACTAGAGGCCCAAGCAGTGGAAAAGAGCACAGCCAGGGAGATGAAATTGCAAGCAGACATCAAGCAGCAGCTGGCACAGGTTGCTCGGATGCAGAGAGAGAGACTGACTGCCATAAGTCTGCAGTTGGAGGAACATGCATCCAGGGCTAACATGGAGTACCAGGAGCAGTGGCGAGAGCTGGAAGCCTTGAGGGGAATTTTTGGTAGAGACTGAGAGAGGGGTAGAGATAGCATGGACCATACACCTAAAGGACCAGGAAGACCAAGAAACCCACAAGAATACTGAGTGTGGAAGCTCCAAGGAGGAGAGGGGAATTAGAGCAGCAAGAGAAGAGTACAATGACGGAGGGATCTCCCAAGACGGATGCGGCCACAATGGGGGAAGAGAGTATCCCCATAGTTATCAAGTACCTTGAGCAGAAGTGGAGTCACTGGGCAAGCCAGTATGCGGAAGGATTGAAGGGCTTGAGAGAGAAATTAGAAAAGCTCGCCAGCAGGTACGATGCTGGGGTACTGACCATACCAAAACCGGTACCACAGAGCGAGGTAGATAAGGGGGATATGACTGCTGGGCAAGATAGTAAGCAGGTTAGTGGGAGAAACAAGAATGGGGACCTAAGCTTCCCTGATCACACTCAAAAGGGAGGACAGCTAAAACAAGAAGGCCAGAGATTGAGGAGGGCACAGGCATGGGTATCTGGTAAAACAGGTACGGCTTCCAGGAGAGAGAGAGAGGCAGAAGCTCTGAGTAGAAGAGAGGTCCAAAGACTTGAAGTGGGCAGGAGGAGCCAAAACCCCAGGGAACATCAGGGGGAAGGAGAAGGATGGCCCAAGCCCCACCCTAAGGACAAGATATCCAGCCCTGAGGAAGAGAGAGGAGGCGGTCTTGTCAAGGTGATGGGGCTGTGGAAGAAAAAAAGACGATAGGCCTGAATTGCACCCTACCAGGGAAGACTAATGTGGGGGGACTGCCTGCGGCGGGGTAGCTCCCAATAAATCCCACATGGTGCGCCCTAGGTAAAAGACGAGGAGGAGGTGCCTGAAAACCTCTGCCTCCAGCATTTTGAGTTGCCGGGTGCCAGAAGAAAGGCCGAGAAAAGCCACAGAGGGACGCAACACCTATGAAGATCCACCTTGGTGAGTCTGAAATCTTAAGCGGGGAGGTGTGTAGCAGGACACTAAGGTGCCTGCTACTGAGAGAGCCCGGAAGACTCCTCAGGTGCTGGTTGCTGAGGCAACTAGAGGGAGCTAATGATCCGCACCTGCCTAGCCAGCTGACAAGAAGGGGCAGGGCCTGGCCTATATAAACCACAGGTAGGAGGCCAGGCAGCAGTTCCCTACCAGCAGCCAAGGCAGAAGGAGCGCCCTGCCAGAAAGAAAAGAGGAGCAGAGCCAGGATGCCAGAGCAGCATTGGTCACCACCGGGTGACAGAGAACCCTGGTAGGCCTGAGCGCAGTTTAACTGGAGGCTTATGTTTGCTTTGTAGCCCAGGGGCTTGTGTTTTTGTTGCAGTTTGTTTATAACCGGTGGTTTGGGTGAGGCTATAAGGGGATGGAGGAGGCCTCATAGGGGACTCACGGTAGAGGGAGGATCCCAGCCCCAGTGAGGGCACGGAGTTTGGGGTGTACAGACCCCAGCTCCAAAGAAGAGCCCGGTGAGAGGGCAGCATTGCGGGGAAGAGCCACAAGGCTTAGATATACAGAACACCCGGATCAGGAGAACTGTGGCCAAGTGGAAGAGAGGTAGCCTCCCTATAAAAACACAGATGATCAAAGTCGTGGCGGGTGAGAATAGGAGGGTGCAAGTCAGAAGCTTGGCACGGTAGAGTAGGCGACAGGGGATAGCACGGTGACCCTGCCGTCCCTCCTGTTACACGTGCCATCTTTAAAAAAACAGGGAGTGAAGTAAAAAATAAGCTGCAAAGCCTTGAGGCAAAGACTCAGCAAGGCACTCAGTTAGCTCTCCTTGCTCAAGGGGGTAGGCAAACCATCAGTCTGGCTGTCAACGTGCCCAAGCCTTATAAATGGTATAATGTAATCTGTACTGTTCATGTGTCACCAAGTGCCACCTCAACTACGTGGCTAACCATCTTGAGCATCATAGTATTCTACATTGCCCTAGTAGCAACAGCTAAATAGTGTTTTAATCGTTGTTGTAAGTCTGTTCATGCTATGCAAGTTAAATTTATAGATACCTCCCCACTTCCCGATGTAGCGCAAGTGGATTTAGCATTTCAGTTGTAACTATCATAGTGCTTCAGCAAGGAAGGGGTGGAGTCTGACGAACCATCTTGAGCATCATAGTATTCTACATTGCCCTAGTAGCAACAGCTAAATAGTGTTTTAATCGTTGTTGTAAGTCTGTTCATGCTATGCAAGTTAAATTTATAGATACCTCCCCACTTCCCGATGTAGCGCAAGTGGATTTAGCATTTCAGTTGTAACTATCATAGTGCTTCAGCAAGGAAGGGGTGGAGTCTGACGGCTGAAAAGTGTGCCTGTGTGATAAAGGTGCTTACTGAAGGCCCTATGAAGATTAGACCAAGTGTTTTTCTGTATTTGTTTAGATATTAAACTATATGTTGTTCTAAAAGCCTAATTAAAATTTAAGATGTAGTGAGGCCTTGTATAAAGGAAGGCCTCGTAAATTTAGCAAAGCTTTGAAGTAATAAGGCTTTGTGGTGTACTTAAAATTACCTTATCAGAGGAATGCAAGGCTTGTACTGCTACTGGTCAGTCTAAGGACAGTTTAAGTAAAAGGAATCTTAGTGGTCATTCATTTTCAGAAGCTATAAATTAGCTAGAATATCTGGAAACCATGCAGAAGGAAGATACAGCTCTGTGAAAAGAATTAGTTAGCGGTTGCCTAGATCAGTGGGCCTGTGGACCTCGAGGAGCCCAAAAACTGCATTCCAGGGTCCTTCCTGGTACCCCTCAGACAGCGCTGTTCAGGGATGCCTGACTTCACTGAACTTTGTGGAAAGAGAAGCTTGCTGTGTATCAGGTCTCAGAGGGGACTGCCGATAAGTTACTGACATGAATTTCTTTTGTCTGTCATGCTTTGTTTTGTTACTAGGTGTAGTTGTGCTTTTGTTAAGTCAATAAACCTTTCTTACCTTTCTACCCCTGACCATATTCTCAATCCCAAACCCTCTGCCGGCACTGAGACAGGCCTAGTGGGGGTCCAATTGGCCAGTGAAGGGCCACATCAGCCAGGGCAGGAGTGGGTAGGTACCCAGTGAGCAGGGGTAGGACCATGACTGCCCAGATGTAGGGCCAGCACCCCTAGCATGAAGTGCCCACTCTCCACCTGTCCCACCAGGCCAGAGTTGTGAAAAACCTGGGCGTTGTGTGCACTGCCTGCCCAGCCAGTGCTCTAATGGGTGAACGGTGGTCCATGGAGTGAAATCCTCTGTGGCTATAATAGGGGCAGTCTTCCTGGGGAGAACTAGAATGTGTATAGTGTAAATATGAAACTGTGACTGATGTATAAAAAGAGGCCTAAGAACCCTTAATACTTTGTTCTGGGCTTAGAAATTCTGTTCATGACTACTACGCTGGCAAATGACAAGGTTAGCACCATGGGCAGCTGGATGTTATGTCTAGGCTTGTTTGTAAGCAATAAACCTGGCTGAGCTATTTGTCACTAAGCCAAAGCCCTCAAGTTTATTTCTTGTAATAATGAGGTTAAGGGGTGCAACATCACAGATGGCATCCTGACAGTGAACACAGACCATCCAAACTGATGGTGATTGGTAAAACCCAAACAACACTAATGGAGTCAGATAACAACACTGACAAAAGTCCACCCTGACAACACGGGTAACTCCCTGGAGACCTATAGACATAACTAAGAAAGAGAAAGCAGGGAATAACAGTGTAATAGTGGTCTCCAACCAGAAGACCACTCGAAGGTTCCCACTCAAAGTACAGACATATGTAGATGGAAAAGCTTCTCTGGCTTTTACTCCACTTTAGGTTTGTACATCTGAAAAAGGAAGTAAGAGGCTGAAAGGGAAGGCAGTAATGAAGGTCCAGAGAATATCACTTGTAGCACGCTCATGAAAGAGTTAAAGAAAGCTACTGATCCAAGTTCTGGCTAGGGAAAGGCCACGAAGCTGTGAGCAGGGAATTTTTCCCCTCTCTGAATTGCCTTGTGTCCCAGGAAAAGGCCTTTGCACAACTGTGTAAGTAAACAGGATTGCATCAAAGAAATAAACTAGTATTGATTTCTCCCCCTGACAAAAATAAATTGCAAGACCCTCACTGAATTTTGGCTAATCACTTGAGGCAGAAAAAGGTAACAATGTTAAATGCCAATTTTATTTTAAATTCTAATTGTGGTAGGAAAGAAGCATTAATGTTAACATACAATGTTACACAATATTTTGTGTGTGTGTGTATATGTATATGTATATAATAATATGACCACAACGATATTAAGCAAATAGAAAGCTCTTCTAATAGTACTTGTGTGTCTTACATTCAATTTCAGTTAGGTTTAAAGTGCTTGTACTCACTTTTGCCAGTGAGATTATCAGAAAATAAATTGCTAATTGTGGGTAGGGCTAAATCTGTCTACATCATCTGCTTTCTGAATATCAATGGCAATAGCAAATGGAAAAACAACCTTTGTCTATTGCACACTGAAAAAACAAGTGGACTAAAACCTGCTGTTATTCCATTACAGAAAGCATGAGATGGGGAACAAGTTTAAGTCTTTTTGGACTATCTTCTGGAAATTCAGAGGGGTAAACCACACACTTA